ATACATTTTTAATTTTTATTAATTTGTCGATACATGAAAAATATGAAATTTCGTTGGTTTTTTTTTGCAATTTCAGTGAGTTTAGGGTGTGTTTGGTGCGTGGGACAAGGTGGAACAGGACAGAACAGGACACACTTGTCCCATGTTTGGTGTGTTATTAAATGGAACTAAATAGAACTAACATGAACAAGGATGGGACACGGGTGTTCTACCTTACCCCCCTGGAACTAAGTAGAACAGGGTATTTTTTCCTAATCTACCCTCACCATCGCTTCCTTCCCCGCCTTCCCCTACCTCTCCATCGCTCCTCCATTCATCAATCGGCGACCGGCGAGGCGACCGGCGACGGCAGAGGCGACGGCAGTCCGATCAATCGACGATTTCCTTTTCATCGACGATTTCCTTTCCATCGGCTGTTTGCTGTTTGAACGATTTAGGGTTTGTCACATCAGGTACACCATCGCACCCTACCTATCCTTCATCAATCGGCGATTCATGTTTGCTGTTTTGCATAACTCGATCTAGGGTTTCTGATTCATGTTTGCTGTTTTGCATAACTCGATTTAGGGTTTCGGCGATTTAGGGTTTCTGATTTCATTCTCGATTTTGCATAACTCGATTTAGGGTTTCGGCGATTTAGGGTTTCGGCGATTTAGGGTTTCTGATTTCATTCTCGATTTTGCATAACTCGATTTAGGGTTTGCTGTTTCTTAAACTTGTTATAATTCAGCGATTTAGGGTTTCTGATTCATGTTTGCACCTGATTCAATTGTGTTCTAGCTTAACTATGACTATTGATGCAATTGTATTTTTCTGATTCATGTTTGCGCCTGATTCAATTGATACGATTTTGCTGGGGGTAAATTGGTCATTTTAGCATGTTCTGTCTTGTCCTGTCCTGTCTTACCAAACGTTGAACAGCTGTCTTGTCCCGTCCTGTCCCGTCCTATCCCATCCTGTCCTGTCCTGTCCTGTCTGCGCACCAAACGCACCCTTAATGATTTATTTGTTCAATTTCAATAATAATTTATTGTGTCTTTTTAAAATTTTCCTTATTCCTTCAACATAATACACGTGTAAAAAAACTTATAAAAAACCAATAAAATAATACTTTAACATAATAATCGAAGTAAAACCATAATTCTCATATTATAACTCAAAATATGTTAGTGCTTATAAATGTTTTCATTATGATACTAGGGTTGGGTTCCAGTGAGACTGAAAGTTAAAATGAGAGGGCGTAAGAATAGATCTCCACCGTTGTATGCACATTAGAATGAGATGCATCGGATAAATTTCCGAATCAAACGTAATTCATAGGTGAGTTTGAGATTAAATGTGATATAGGATCCAAATCTCTTCTTACACTTCTTATCATAACTCTTCTTACACTATCCTTCACCTATGATACTAACTTGTGAAAACTATAACTTTATTTATAAGAAATTTCCATTAGAGATGCTGTATAGAACATTTATCAAATAATTCTTTTTGATTCTATACTAAGGAGTTGTTTACTAGATTGTTTGATTAATAAATTACAGTTAAAAAATAAACTGGTTAAACAATTTAAGGATGAATTGCATGAAAAAGTAACGTATTTTAACTTGATTTTTATTTTAGGTAACGTACTTTCGAAACTTTCATTTTGGTATCTAATATGTAAAGTTCTAAACATTTAAGTATCCAGGTAACTGGTTGAAGCATTAACCGGTTATCATGCTGATGTGGTATCCAACTCAATGTTATTTGTTGAAGCATCAACCGGATACTACGTCACTCGTCACATCAGCATGGTAACCGGTTAATGATTCAACAGGTTACTCATGTACTTATATGTTTAAAACTATAAATCTTAGGTACCAAAATGGAAATTTTGAAAGTACGTTACCTAAAATAGGAATCAATTTAAAGTATGTTACTTTTTCATGCAATTTGCCGACAGTTTAATTATGAAGTATATTCAAGTATTTGATGATGTCTAAGATTATTTAAAAAATAAAATAGTTATTATGGTAATAATGAAAAAAATGTCGATGATTGAAAATGACATGTAAGCCTTTTTACGTGACGAAAAGTAGAATGGAACGTGAATGGAAGGTCGACAGAAGACGCGTGGACAAGAATACGAAGAGTTCCAAGTGGGAAAGAAAACGTCTTCATCAGAGTGGGTGAGGTCACTATCGTAGCCTTATTGGACCCTTAATTTCTCCATTCCCTCTTCTTCTATATATAAATACCAACCACTTCTTTTCTCATTTCATCTAATAATCTTCCAACACTAACGACTTCTTCCACGATGCCTGGCGCTAAGCTTTTCTCGTCTTTCATCCTCGCCAGGTAATTTCTGTTACTTTTGAATTTTATCTGTTTTGGTTGACTTTGTTTTTTTTTTAGATTGAAAAGTTACAGGGATCAATTCACAGTCTAATGGTTATGTTATGTTAACAGACGTGGATTTGCAACAGCAACACGAGGGATCGGTGGCGCGAAGGGAAGCGGAATTGCAATGATGAAGAAAGGAGGTGAGGAGTCAAAGAAATCAACATCATGGGTTCCAGATCCAGTAACAGGATACTACAAGCCAGAGGGTCAAATTAAACAGGTTGACGGAGCGGAGCTACGTGAACTGGTCCCAAAGCAAAAAAATCAAAAATGAACATGAAGAAGACAAAGATGAATTTGCTTTGTCCAAAACACATGATCGTGTCCAACAAGCAACAACCCGTATGGATGGAAAGCTGTATCGTCGTTCGTCTGTTATATCATCGTTGCTTCCAATAGAATATAATCCTTAATTTAATAAATTTTATACATCTTAATTGAACGGTCTTGTGAGTTTTCTTCCTTTCCAGGTTTTTTTTTCGCTTTAGAGCAATTAAGTCTAAGTAATTAAGACTTCAAGTAATTATTAACTACAAACATGCAAACTCTAAATATATTTTTGGACCGTTTACTAAACGTTTATCAAATAAGTTTTTATCGGGTCATTTATCTTACTAAATCTACATGACAAAGATACATAATCTTATCCTGGAAAAACGTTGACAATGACCGAGAGTTGTATCCGATAAAGGTGGTGAAAACCTTTACCCGGTTAACATTTACTGGATAAATTGTTGTATCCGATGTCGTTTTGATGGATTAAAATCTTACCGAATAAAGTAAATAAAGTGTTGACTCTCAACAGTAAACATTTGAGTAGACAACCTCTTAGTTATGTTTCGTTTACAGAGAAAAAAGAAATTTAGTTCAGAGTTTTATTAACTATTTATTAAGGGGGTGTTTGAGATTGCTTATTTAAAACAACTCACATTTTTTTTGTAAAAGTGTTTATCAACTTATCTGGTGTCAAATCAAAGTTTTATTAAAAGTGTTTGAATTAGCTTATGGCGGAACCAAACGTAATAAGCTGATAAATATTTTTTTTGTTTCATCCAAACACTAAAAAACTACGTATTGCCGGTACCACCAACTTAATAAGTTAGAAAAGAATAACTTATCAAAAAAACCTCTATTACCAGTGTCACACCGATATATTTCTTTTTTTCCCATCCAAAAAGTCAAAACTTTTTATTACCGATACCACACCGAAATAAGTTATTAAACACTTTAAATAAGCAACCCCAAACACCCATAAAATATTAAAATAATCATTTATTATTTAAAAAAAATTATCACTTAAATATTTGGAAAAATGTTTTTTCCTCAACATCTTTTAAGTGAATAAGGGGCCGTTTACCAAACACTTACCTGGTAAGTGCTTACAGGTAAAATTTAACATTATCATTTACATATCGCATAAGAGTTTAGTCCACCAAAACGGTATCGTATGTAACAATTTACCTGGTAAACGCTTACCGTGGTAAGAATCGTCGCTCTAAGGATTTGGAGATGCTCTAAGGCAGGTAAGCGCTTAACAAGTCATATTACCTTATCGGATAAATTTAGTCGAAGCGTATAAATTTTAAATTGGATTTAAATTTATTAATCAGGTATTAGGAATCCAAATCAATTATTGGATGGGTCTGATCAGAATTCGATTATTCGTGGTATGAAGAATATATAACAAAAAATGAAACTTTTGAAGGACACGAGAATATAACAAATAAAGGGAAAAAAAGTGGGTGGAATCCAATTTGTAGAGATATATGTATATATTTATAGTGGAAAAAGTTTGAAAAGGTTACATTAACCGATTAGTAGAAGTTCGATAGTTTGTTTATTTTTGTAAAAGAAATCAGTGTCTTAATCATTCAAAATGTAAAAGTTTAATGATTTTTTGTTTAAAAATAATGGTTCATGAGACTTAATCATTCAAAATAAAAATGTTTTATGATTTTCTATTAAAAAATATTTCTTAAGGAATAAAAGCTTATTGGATTTTTAAACTTTTCTCATTTATAATACTAGAAGGGTAATCGCATAATGCAGCGAGATACATCTCGATTTTAATGTTTCATTTTTTTCTCAGTCGATATTATAATACTGTTTTATGTGGTTTTAAAAATACGATAATGTTTTTATTTTTGAATAAAATATAAATATGAATTTATATTATAAGAATTTGAAAAAATATTGATATTAGTACCAAACTAAATATTTAAAATTTCTTTTTTTTTTTGTGAATTTTTTAATTTATTTTTGGTTTAGTAATATAATTTGTTTATAAAGATAATAATTAAGTATTTTGTTAAAACTCAATATTATTTTAATTATATTTTAGATTTTTTATATTTAAAATGAGATATTTATCATCTATTTGATTATTTTTATCTGCAATTAGTTACACAAATTCAACAGATGAAATTTTAATACATTGTACTTACGCACAATTTACTTGTAATCTTGAATTTTAAGTAATATGGATCAATAAACAATATTTCATGCATAAAAAAATAATTTTTAATTTTTTTTTAAATACTTTATAATAATATTAGTATAGATACGAGTAAGCATATTTTTCCATTTATAATATGTGTGAATATCGCATTGAAACATGAATAGGTTAACAGAGTAATATTTTATTAATAAAAAATCATTCATGGCTTAGTAACAAAGATATCGAATAACAGATGGAAGATCATATACTCATTCCATGTATACCAGCAAGGCTAATTCCTTCATTGTTGCTAATTAAGTTTCAAAGTTATGCAACAGTTCGGTTTGTTTCAGGTGAACGTAATAAGTCACCTTCATATCTTCTGATTTACGGATCAAGTTGTTCATTGAGTTTAATCAGTGTCGACGAGTTTTGTTCTTCAGAAGTAGTTCACGGAGATCAGCGGCATCGATCTGGTTTGTTTGGTCCTCTGGCTTGTAGTAGCCTGTAACTGGATCTGGAACCCAAGGAGTCGATGATTTCTTCGATTCATCGCCTCCTTTCTTCATCATTGCAACTCCGCTTCCCCTCACGGTTCCTGATACACTTCCATGTGCTGCCATCGCAAATCCACGCCTGTTCAAATTATTCAAAACAAAATCATCAGATGATGAATCTCCAAAACTTTTGAATCTCGAATCACAGAATCAGATGAAATCCACCATGTTTTTTCACCAAAAACCTTACTCAAACACAGAGGATTCRAATTTTAAGGCAAAACTAATTACCTGGCGATAACAACAGAGAGTTGATCGACGATGATAGAYGAGATAAGCTTAGTTGTAGCCATTTGGCCGATTGAGGATTTGATTGATTTCAATTTCCGAAAGGTAGAAGATGATGAAAACTTGTGTTGCAGAGCGCGGTTATTATGTGTGATACTGATAATGCGAGTGATGAATGGAGAAGAGAGTCGTGGGTATTTATAGAGGATGGAAAGTAGAAGGGAAAGGGTGGRTCAAAATTCTGGAAGGGTCAATCAGGTACTACAAATTCAAATTGAACACGTCAAAACATATATTATTRACGGATCTTTTTATTGGATATCGGAAAATAAGGAGATTGCTATATACACATTTTTAATACTGTAATCAGATTAAATTTGGTCTGAGAAGAAAATTAGTAAATATAAATAAATTTATCATACTAAAGGTATTCGTACAATGCAGTGAAATATATTTTGATTTTAATGTTTTGTTTTATTTTATTTTATATCTGTAAATATTATAATATGATATGGTTTTGAAAAAAATTAATGTTTTTATTTTTAAATAAAATATAAATTTAAATATATTATAGAATTTTGAAAATAAATATATGATATTAGTATTAAATTAACTATTTAAAAATTTATGTTTTTTTATTATAATTTAATTTAAAAATAAAATTTGAACCATATCATAAATGAAAAGGTACATTAATATTTGCCAAATAAAACATGGGTGGTGCTTAATTTATGAAGACAGAGAGAATATTTAATTAGGTTTGTATGCCAATACTTAGAATAAATTGTTAATTAAGAATTGAGTGGATGTATTGTTGGGTGGTTAGGTTATAAGAAACCTTTTGTAAACCACTAAATATTATATTTGTGGGTGGAAATTATTTAATTACGTACCAACTAATAAAATAATGTTAGCATATGAATAATTCTGGCACTTGTCACACCAATAATATATTCTAACTTTAAAGGTCAAAAGTATCAGAAGGTTCTATTGTAAAGAATAATTATAAAAATTAATGTAGAGAGTAATTGTAAAAATTAAATTAAGGGGTATTTCTATCGTAACTACAATTATGTTCCTTATATTATTAACCACATCTCGTTTTATGAATTTGTTGTATACTTTAGAGAAAGTTAATTATATAAACTAGAAGGATACCAGTGCAATGCAATGAGATACATCGAGATAATACTTCGTTTTATTTGTTTGTCTTTATCAATATAATATGGTTTTATGTGATTTTTGAGAAAGCAATAATGTTTTGATTCATAAAAATTTGGAAAAAAAATATCAATTTTAATATCAAATTAACTATTGAATTTTTTTTATGTAATTTCTTTAATTTAAAATTTTTATTATAATTTAATTTAGGTTTAATAACAAAGTAATTTATTTTTGGTTTAATGATATAATTTTTATAAGAATAATAATTAAGTATTCTGTAATAAGTATAACTCAATGATTATCTTAATTATATTTTAAATTTTTTATATTTAAAATAAATTGTTTATCCTATAGTTGATTATGTTTATCTGTAGTTAGTTACATGAATTTAAATATAGAGATTTAATAAGTTATACCTACGTATAATTTATTTTATAAACTTAAATTTTAAATAATATATATCAATAAATAATAATGTATGTATATAGAATGATTTTTAAAAATATTTATGAAATGTTTTATAAAATAATATAAATGATTATTAATACTTTAATTGTAAAATATAAATATGAAGAAGCAGCGAATCTGCCCAGAAAGAAGCGGCAACACAAACAAGTTGCCAAGTTGTTGTGCAAAAACCTTTGACGACCTCATAAATCAGCGCATGGACTTTCACACACTCGATCGTTGCTCCTTCAAACACCAAAACATCAATCGCCGAATAACGAAAATGCTACGTGGAGGCATCTGGAAAGTGCGATGACGTCAAACGCCCACCTCATCCTGTAAATCACCTGGCCAGCACCTTCTTTTTGCATTTTCTCATAATACCATAATTATTTATTTTTTAAATCAAACTACATTTACAAAATCATAATAAATATATGTAATTTTCATTAAATCTAAAAAATAAATAAGGGTTAATAAAAATAATACATTTATAATTTTTATTAATTTGTCGATACATGAAAAATATGAAATTTCGTTGGTTTTTTGCAGTTTTAATGAATTAAATGATTTATCTGTTCAATTTCAATAATAGTTTATTATGTTTTTTTAGACTTTTCCTTATTTCTTCAACATAATACATGTGTAAAAAGACTTATAAAAAACCAATAAAATAATAATTTAACATAATAATCGAAGTAAAACCATAATTCTCACATAATAACTCAAAATATGTTAGTGCTTTAAGATTTTCCATTATGATACTAAGGATGTGTTCCGATGAGACTTAGAGTTAAAGTGAAAAGCGTAAGAATTGATCTCCACCATTGTATGCATACTAGGATGAGATGCATCGGACAAATCCCCGAATCAAATGTGATTCATGGATGAGTTTGAGATTAAAGGTGATCTAGGATCTAGATCCAGATCCCTTTTTACGCTTCTTATCTTAACTCTCCTCACACTATCCTTCACCTATGATACTAACTTGTGAAAACTATAACTTTATTTATAAGAAATTTCCATTAGAGATGCTCTATAGAACACTTATCAAATAATTCTTTTTTGATTCTATACTATGGGGTTGTCTACTAAACGTTAACCGGTAAAAACGATAATACGAATGGAATGTTTTACCTGATAAGTGAGAGTGACGACTCTTATCCGATAAGCGCTTGTCAGGTAAATTGTTTCATACGATATCGTTTTAACGGACTAACAATCATACATAATTTATTAATTATTATATCCTTAATCATTCTGGAATTATTAAACAACCACCAACAATAATTTTGGATGAGAAAAACATTAATTAGATAGGATAATGGTCAATCGACATGTAATGTGATGCGGTTTGCTTGTGTTTCTGGCACCAAACAATGCATCTGCTCTGACTACAAATGCATCAATAAATAATGAATGTGTCCATTTCCACCAGCAATAATTGTACATTTTAAGATATTTTTTCTAAAAAACTATACACATGTTCATATTTAGATTTTTTTTTAAATAAGGGACCGTTTACCCAAATGTTTATCCGGTAAGCGCTTACCAATAGAAGTCGATGCTAATTTATTTTGATCCGTAAGATTTTAGTACATCAAAACATATCGAATGCAACAATTTACTGGGTAAAAGTCGTCATTCTTACTTACCGAGTAAAACTCTCCATCCTTTTCATTGCTCTTACCCGGTAAGATTCTTAGCCCTTCTCATGTTCATCCGATGAGAATTTATCCTGTAAGCACTTACCAAATAAGTGTTTAGTAAACGACAAGTCTATTTCTGTTGTTTTCATCAAATCTCCAAATGTTTGATCCAGGCTTCATGCAGACTAATCAAATTGGCAAATAGTGACAGCAGGCTTTGTCCGGAGACTTGAGGTGAATCTCTCAATAAGCAAGTGCTTATGTAGATGACAAGATTCGAACCCGAGTTGATTTTATTATCCCCTTTGGGGTATCACGAATCAACTGATCAACCGTAAAACCTGGAAGGGAAGGTAAATCTTCTAACCAATACAAAACATGAACTTGATAAGATTATGCTCAAATGCTTGAATTGCAACAAATATGGAGACTCCCAGAAAGTTATGGTAGACCAAACACAAAGAACCAATGTTGAAGAAGAATAGGGTGACCTTCTATTTATGGTGAAGAAAAAGGAAAACCGAAACATGGTACATGTTGCTCTGCTCCGATCACGACTGAGCAGTGCTCAAAATACAAAAAGAACTTGATAAGATTATCAAGTGACGAGCGCGAATTGGAGATCACAAACAACAGTCAAAAGTAAAACAACATCTGAGATCTCAGTACTAACTAGGAAAAAAAAAGCTTGATATTGCTCATCGTTAAACATACAATCTGTTGAGTATCGGTCAATTGGTTGAATTTGGTTCCAAATATCTAATTTTTCTCGACTTATTTATGCTAGTTTTGGTTTCTATGTTGTTACTATATGTCGGCCTTAGTTTTTATGTCCGCCCCTAGTCTCATGTGAGGTACGTTGGATAAATAACCTTAAATGAATTTTCAATTAGAAAGATTAGGAACATGACCTTCTAAATTTCTTTTCGCTCAATAACCTTTATCTGATCTACCCCTGAAGTAAAACAGTAAAACGGTAAGCTCTCGTAAAAGCTAAGAAATATACTAGAGGATCATTTTGCAAAACACGTTTTTTAAGGTCATTGAGCTAAATAGGCCCTTCTCATGTGTTTTTGCTCCCTATTTGTTCATTTTGTACCCGATGCTTATTTCAAACACTTGTATACTTGTAATTTTTGTTTGCAGGTTGGGGGTCTTTATGAAAACAACCTCTCTCTATCTCTTAGGATAGAGGCAATGTCTATGTACAATTGTACATCATACACTTTCCGACAAAAGTCACCATCCTCACTTACTTTATCGAATAACATTTCCGGACATCAAAATGGATTAACTCTAAGGTGTTGTTTGGTACATGGATTTGGATGGAATTGGAATGGCCAAATCCTTTGACCAAATTCCAAATACAATGTTTGGTTCATGGAATAAAACTGATGGAATCCTTTCGATTCCAATAAATTCTTTCACTCACAGATTTTACATTCCACGGCAATACCCTCGGATTTCAATTCCTTTCCGACAAATTCCTTCCCTAATCCAAATTCATTCAACGTTGCATCTACCATCTCATCTAATTGATCTTTGGTTCGATCTCGCTCTGGTACGCTCTCGCTCTCTCTCTCTCGTAATTTCTCCATCTATACGAGATCGATAGACAACATATTTAATCAAGGAATTGATTCAAGATAACAAGCTATCGATATCACTAGTCCAATTTCGTTATTCAAAAATCATAAAAGGTCATTTATTGATATTTAATTCCGATTCCAAAGTTAAATTCCGTGAACCAAATAAAAAAATTCCAATCCGTTAAGAATTTCATTCCAATTCCATGCAACCAAACGCAATCACAAGGCATGGTCAAATTCCATCAAAGTCAAATTCATTTGATGAATTTCAATTCCATCGAATTCCATTCTACGAACCAAACGCCCCCTAAGCATTTATCACCCGGTAAGCGCTTACAAGGCAAAAGTCAGCACCTTCATTTACCAAAGGAGAGAGTCAATTCTTCCCTCACTTCTTACCGGGTAAGATTCTTCAGGCCTCTTTGTTAGTAGCTTAATGAGTTTAATAGGACTCACAACTTATTTGGTCAACTATACATGACTGTTTGGTGGTGGTTTAATGATATAGAAAGTGACTTATTCAGCAGTCTTCTAGGATATATTTATGCAGAAAGTCAAGTTTTTTTCCAAATATGTCCCTCCCAATTAAACAACATACTCCTTCCATCTATTGAGAAAACTCTCTGAAATAAAAACCTTCTCAATCTATATTCTATACATACTGGTTAATCCATACAAACAACTTTATCATACATGACTTAATAGAAAGCCAACCAAAAAGCCCCTTAGTCATTCTTGCTCACCCGATAAGATAATTGACCCAGTAAACGCTAATTTGGTAAACAACCCTTAGTTCGTTTGGTTTGTTTTTTACTTAAACCACTTCCTATTTCAATTCCATATAGATACAAAGAGTTAATATCACTCTTTGAAAAAGGAGCATATTTTATTTCTCTAATGGATGCATGCAAACATAATGGGAATTCAATCATAGAAAAGTAACAAAAAAAGATGATTTCTAAGCGAATAAACAAAGAAATTGAAGCGTGATTCAGTTGGAAATCATCTAACCTCTAAATTGAAGAAACAATCGTGTTTGTTCTGATCTTCTGTACTTGCTTATCTTCATGATCATCAACAACGCCATTGCAATTCAAACCACATCCACATTGCGGACAAATCTCAAAATTATCAATCGGAAACCCAGCCGAAGCAATTCCAACGGAAAAACCAAGCTCGTCTTCGGTCCGATAAACTTCAACAATGTTGAGCCAAAAGAAGAACACCTTGACGCTAACTCCAGTTAGATCCTTCAATCTACCATTCGATATGATCCCGCCGATTGTCGATTGGTATTTGAGATCGTAGGAACCTTCTAGAGAAAAGCTACAAGAACCATTGAAAAAAGCTTTAAATTTACCCGTGGGTTTATCGAGTTCGTAGCCGATGACGCCAATAGGAATAATTCCTTTGGGAAATCCATACGATTGAATGACTTGATAGGCAGTGAAGTTGTCATTGCCTCCATTGTCAGCAGCATCGAGTAGGGATGAGATTGCGAAAGTTGAGAGGAGGAGGATGGAGAAAGTGAAGACGATGATCGAAGACATTACTGTGAATATAATTTTCTAGGGTTTTGATGGCTTAATGGGTTCTGATTTCAGGAACATTTATGAGGGTAGTACTTTATATATAACCTTTTAATTAAATCAAATAAAAAGTTGATAACCGGTTATTCTAAATGGGTTCATATAAAATCCGGTTTTAAATGCATCAATGTGACAGACGATCTTTTGGTTCACTCGTTGGCTAAGGTCAGGGAGGAGTCTGGGATCTAACCATTCCTTTTTTAAGGGTGTGTTTGAGATGGGATGATATCGGAGGGATAAAAAAGATAGTTTAATGTTTGGTATGTCATGGATCCAGATAACATAAGACAAAACCAAAGATATTTTGTTCCACCAAAAAAAGGTAGAACAACATGAGACTAATTCATATAGAGTAAAGTACATTACATAGTCCGTTTTAGAGACTGGCGACTTACCCATTCTGGTATAAGCATCGCCTCTCGATCCAATCCGTCTTCCCTGCCCTCCCCAACTAAATTTGGTTCAAATGACATCCAAATGTAACTGAATCATTGAACTGATCTTATTGAATCGATGGGCGGAAAGGAACCTACCGATGCATGTTGTCATCGCCATATTTCATATGTCACTTAGTCATCTCTGCCTCGCGGCAAGGTCTTCTGTGAGTGAACGAGATGAGGATCGAGGCAGTTAAGTTCCACCGAAATTCCCTTACAGTTCTAGAAGTTAAGAGAAGCTAGGGCAAAAATTTTGCTTTTAGAATCCGCCCTCTTCAAGCTAATACGATTCCAAGAGACAAAAGCTCGATTAGCTACTTAGGATGGGCCGAAGGCATCACAAGATCGAGAGGAGCCATCTTGATAATATCACTATTTACAGCATCTAAAAGACTAACCTTACACTAAAAATCACCTCCATCCTATCGACTGCTGCTTCTTCTCCAACTTCTTGACAACAATCGATTCTCTCCACACCTCGATCATAATGAACAATTTCTTCATTATATAGCATTCAGGGGCAATTTGGTTATTTTAACATTTTTGTATTGTCTAGTTTACCTAACACAAAACAAACAATTAGTTCAATCATCTTCTAGTGATTCCAAATGCATAACAAACAAGTAGTCATGTTTAGTACAATATTCTCTCGTCGATTACATCTATTTATTAGCAGCTTAACGAGCTTAATGAAACTATTTCCACCTTATTCAGTCAGCTATACATGACTGCTTCATAGCGACTTAATGATATAGAAAGTGACTTATTAAGTAAAATTTTAAAGGGAAACTTAATGTATAAAGCTAAAAAAATAATTCAAACCTGTCCCTCCTAATAAAAAAACACGTTTTTTTCATCTATGAGAAAACTCTCACAAATAAAAACATTTCCAATCTATACAAAGAGATTTAAAATGTAGGTCAAAATGCACAAAATAGCAATCTACTTTCATAAATTTTTTTATTATAGCATTGTACTTTCAGTTTTTCTTATTATAACAATGTACTTTCAAACTATTTTTTTATTATGATATTGTACTTTGAAAAATTTACCTATTATAGCATTGGGTAACCTTTTGATTTAAATTTACCCATTATACTAGGTTTCCATGCCACCTCATTGTCCACGTAGGCTGTCCACATGTACTATAGTGATGTGACTTTCTTACTACATTATTGTACTTTCAAAATTATTTTATTATAGCATCTACTAGTTCTTATTAAACACTGTATTTTTAATTTTAATATTTAGATATTTTACATGTTATTTAATAAATGTATTAACTGAATTAAAAAAATTTATGAATTATTCATTAATTCCAATATCAATAAAACTAGTAGAACACAACTTATCTCGCTAATATTTAAAAAAAAAACATGTTTAAAAAAAAAGGAAAATAAGAATTGTTTCTTTTTTACCAAAAATATTATCTTTTAAAAATATATTATATTTGTTCAAAAACTTTTTACTTGACGTATAAATATATTAAATTAATTAGATTTTTTTAAATTATTTATTAATATAACAATATTAAAAAATTGTAGAGAACAATTTATTTTGTTAATGTTTTAAAGAGAATTTTAAAAGATATGTATTTATTTGAACAACATAAAATAGGAAAAGTTACTTTTTTTACAAACAAAATATATCTCGAAAATAATGTTTCATATTTATTTAATAAATATTTTACTATAAGAATATTTAATTTGAATTTAACTTAATAAAAAAAGAATTTAATGTTTTTTTAGATAGTAGCAATGAAAAATGAAAATCACTAATAATAATTTGAAATAGGTTTTTATTTTAATTTTAGTTAAGTCATTAAAATGATGTGTCATCCACATCACCTCATTAAAGCCACACAAGCAAAAAAGTCAAAGAGTTAACCGGTTTAAAAGGTAACAGGTTACCCATTGTTTTTATGGGTAAATTTTTTAAAGTACAATGGCTTAATACAAAATAATTTGAAAGTATATTACTGTAATAAAGAAAAACAAAAGTATAATGCTATAATAATTTTTCTTATGAAAATATGTTATTATTTCATGCATTTAACCTAAAATGTAAACATACAAGTTACATGTAGTATGGACTATGGACTGCTTGTCAGTGGACCATGAAATTGGGCTTTTTTGACTTGGACTTTTTAGAGTTTTTAAACTTTCAGACCGGCCCATTTTAGGAACCCTTCTTTTCCAATCCCTTCACGCATTCTCATTCCTCCGTAACGGCGATCAAATTGTTCTCCGATCCAAGTTTCTGTAGCAGCGCCGGTAGCTAATCGGAAACAATGGCTCGATCCTTCTCAAACGCTAAGCGACTTTCATCTTTCTTCGGTGATCAGCTTTCCGTTGTTATTTCCAAGTAATTTTACGTGAATTTGCTTATTCCCTTTTGTCACGAGTTTTAACGGATCTGCGTATGTATTTTATACGAATCCTATTTGCTTACTATGATTTGGAGATATTCGTTTGACAATTGTGTTTGAAATTGTTTACCAGGCGTGGAATTGCTGCAGCACCTCAGGGTGGTGCATTTGGTGGTGGAGCTGCAATGATGCAGAAAGGAGGTGAAGAATCGTCGAAATCGGCTTCAAAGGTTTCGGATCCCGCTGTAATCAGGCCAGAATTCCGATCGAACCAGGTGTTTTCTTTGTTGAATTACATCCATCCGTTCTCTTCTCATGTTAATGTTTACAAGTCGCAGATCCCTTCGATCTTTTCTCTATCCAGTAGATTCTCTACTGCATCAACTCCATCTGTTGCGAGTCCCGCAGTCAATCATGCTCGTCCGTTATCTCCCCATCTTTCTATCTATAAGCCGCAGTCCAATTCGATGTTTTCTATTTCTAATAGAATTGCTGCCTCCTTTCTATCCGCTGCCGTGCTGGTGTTTTATCTTATCTGTATGAAAACAGGTTTAATTTGTTTCACCTACAATAGTTTCTACCAAATCTTCTTTGGAATTGCCGGGTTCACTGACTTGGTTTGCTATTCCGCAATTCCTCTCACCATCCTCCATCTCCTCCATGTACTGAAGCACTAAATTTACGACAGCACAAAAAGCTGATTCCCAAATCGTAGAGGAGTACTTGATGATAATGGTTCCTAATGTACTCTGTGGATGGTAGTGCTTTGTTCTTGTGTCCTTGCTTTGCTGCAAAGTAATAAGTATATGCAGACCTCTTGTACATCTTTCCTTTTTTCTCCTTTGTTAAATAAGTACATGCTATGCTTGTTTGATGCAAGTGAAGTCCATAGCAAAGTGAATTGTTGGTATGGAACAAGAAATTATTTTTGCCCATCTTGGTTTTGCGATAGAAATGTACCTTTTTGAACCAATGTGTGTGAATAAGTTTGATATGCTGCTTGACTTTGTAAGGCACTAATAGAAGACATTATCCAGTTAGATAAGCTAAATACTTTCAACTTGTGTAGGTTTAAAGCCACTAAATTTTGTACATTGAACTTTGTAATGTTGGTATGCAACCATTTGCGTTCTAATCTGTAACCATAACCATAACCATAACCATAACCATAACCGTCCATCATTATGTGCACTATGATGCCTACAGACTCGGAACCCATTTGTTTGTAGTAGATTTGACTTGAAGCTATGGTTTGCTAGAACAATCTTAGCTCATGATTATATTCTATTTCCTTGGTAAATTCGAATTTAGACATTTGGATTAGAAAACTATGTCTTTTAACATTACACACCGTTGCCAATTTTCTTAGATAGTGGTAACAACTGAGTGAAAGAATTTGTGCATTCCTAGTCCTATAATTCTGAATTAATCTTTAAAATCAAAGTTGGGCATGTAGTTTAGTTTTTACATCACATCACCGAATAATAGTTTCATGGTGATGTTAGCGCAGTTGCATCGCAAATTGACCATATCTAAAGGGGTTGACTTTGGAGTACTGGGAAGATATATTGAAGAACAGGTGAGAAGATGGGAGCTGTTTTTAAGCTTCAAAAGTCATGACAGATCATTTTAGCCTCTCTGTCCTGGTTTCCTCATGCTATGTAGTTTTTTATAATGTTACACTTAGAAATTCTCACTAATCGAATTAGTAATAATTATGGCAAAAGCTTCATAGGTTACTCTTTTAAAGCACCCGTATTATTTTAAACCATGAGTAAGGCTTGGTTCCTTCTTTTTTTCTCAGCCCTGTGCTCAAAGGACCTGTACTTTAAACTTGATAAGCGTCTGAAGCCTTATTTTCAGTGGTAATCGCAGGACAAAGTACGTTGATGAACTCGAATTAACCAATCATGAGAATGAAAAACACCCATGTGAAACTTAAAGGGCTGACCACGAAACAAGCTGCGACGATGTAAATTTTGGTGGTTAGAGGGTTGTGGAAACAATTACCAAGCAAAATGTTTCTTGTGGGTTGGGTATTCTACTTCCAAGGGCGGGATTGGATGGGAAAGTGTAAGGTAGGCGGGTGAAAAAGTTGTGAAAGGTTTTAGGGTTTTGATTTGACATTAGCAGATTAGTAAATTATCAGTTTTGTTCCCCCTATTTTTGGTGTCAAATCCTTGTTGTCCGGTCTAACGTCACACCAAACATGAAACAAGAAGTTTCTGTTCCGTCTTATCCCATCATGCTCTGTGTACCAAACACACCTTAAAAGAAATACTTGTGGCCAATGGGGTGAGGTATGGTAGGTACTCTTAATGGGATATTTTTTGCTAGCGTTTAGTGGAAGAGGTGTAGTAACAAGTAAAGTTAAAGGGGTGTTTCATCGTCGATCTTTGGAGCTGCTTTTGATTTTTTTTTGAAATCAACACAGATGAAACAGTTTCATCAGTTGGTTCTTAATTCTTTTTGATTTTTTTTTAAATCAACACAGATGAAACAGTTTCATCAGTTGGTTCTTAATTCTTCTTGTGTTGGGATTTTTTAGTCAGGTTGATTGGCTTCAGGTCATTGGTTTTTATGTTTTGCTGCTGGGTTTGGCTTTTGGGGTTAGTGTTAAGCTACTTGGGTTCTGATGGTAATTACCAAATAAAACAAAAGTAGCCCAGAATATCCAATTTGGGGGTGGGATCGGGGTAGGATGTATGTAGATTTGATGTCAATCGTAAGGAGGAAAGCGACTGTTCCTGTAAAGTCTCTGACTTTTGGAAAGCATGCAGAGCGAAAACCAAGAATTTGTTCAAAAATTATGATGATTTCTGAAGAAGGATGAGAATTCAAAATAGAAGTTGAGGCCAGAAAGGAATATAAGACGATTTAAAAGAAGCTAACTAAGCAAGCAACACCAGAAAACATGTAGGTACGAAAACACATAGAAGGAAACTACTCGATCTATTGTAGGGGCGATTTATAAAACGTTTACGTAGTCGTTGAGGCCTTGGGATGTGGTGGAATATCTCATTTGTTCAGGTTCAATTTCAGACATACACAACAATTGAAACCACTGAGTTTATCAGGGCTGATTTTTTGCAGTTACAATTTGTCAGGATTAGTCCAGGTATAGCTTGGGACACCCTTCCAAGAAAAAAAAAAGAGGCATATGAAGGATCAAGAATCGTATCCGATAAGTTATGGAGGACTTTTACGTGGTTAGCGTTTACATGGGAAGAGACTATTACCAACAAATTCATTTGATGATTGATAATGTTATATGAAGATGGTGACTCTTATCGGTAAACTTTTGATAAATGGCCCACATTTCCCAACAGTCTTGCTTATGAATCAAATGGCCTTATTGTTCTATAGGTAATTTGTTGGATCAAAAGGATTTACTTTTGGGTCATTAAGGTTGTTATGAAAAGGAAATCTTTAGTGGATGTGTCACAACTTCCTTTCTTAAGTTTTCTTTTGGTAAAAGAAAATTTTAAAATGATTCAAGAGCAAGAAGTAGAAGAAAAAATTAGAACTTTTTGGCAAACAAAAGTAATTCGTCATTTGTTTTCGGTATCGCCAAATGAGTTCGTTGATGAATTCCAAACGCCATGCTTCTTTGTTTTGATGAGCCCCGTTCTCTCTATCGGGTAATTGAGTTCAAGACTTGTGAATAAGATGATATATAAAGGAAATTAACAAAAATAGTCGTTTCGGCCGGATACATTTATCTTTTAGCTATTTTCCTCTCAAAATTTTCCAAACTGTCACTATTATCGTAAGTATCAACTCCTCAACTTCCTGAAAGGTTAAAAAGTGAGATTTTTTTTAACATGGTCTGTAAGTACATGGACCAAATCTGTAAATTAGTCTGGGTCCGCAAGTACATGGATGAAGTCTGTAAATTGCTCTGGGTCCGCAAGTACATGGACCAAGTCTGTAAATTAGTTTGAGTTCGCAAGTGGCAATTTCGTTGAGGAAGTATTTAGACTAATTTATAAATTTGGTTCATGTACTTGCGGACCATGTTCAAAAAAAAAATTCTACTTTTTAACCCATCCACAAATTGAGGAGTTGATTCTTGCAGAGGTAGTGACATTTTAATTTTTTGGAAGAGAAATAGCTACAAGGTAAACGTATCTAATTGAAACTGCTATTCTTGTCAATTTCCCTGTTATATACAAATAGACCCAAAAAAGCAACATTTAATTGTATATAATTTAGTGAGAACTAATTAAATTAATTATTTTATGCAAGAATCACTAGATTGACATATGAAATGTAACGTTAATTCCACAAAAACATATTGATCGTTTAAACACTTACAAGTTCATTTTAATGCCTTGACCAAAAGATGTACGATTGTTTAGACCATGTGAAAATAACGTTTTGCATAAATATTATAAATTAGTTTGAGACGAAAATTCAAATCAGATGACATAATTTCTTAAAAATAATACAGTTTGTAATATTTGGAATAACTATAAAGATCTGTTTGGTTTCTAGGTTTGAATGAGACTTAAAGGGATTTGGAATTATATTTCATTTCAATATCATATTTTGTTTGAAATATTGCTTGGATTTGAAATCCAATGGGTTGATATTTCATGGGATTTGTATGTAATAGTTTTTTAAAATACGTTGAAATATTTGTTTTATAACAACCAATTAATAAAAAAGTAATTTAAATATTTTTATATATTATTCATAAAAAATAGAATTCAATTCCATTTCATATTCTACAAATCAGAAATACCAAAGATTTTAAATCCAAACCCCTTCAATTCTAAATCATTCTACGAAATTCAAATCTCTCAAAGTCATTCTATCAAACCAGATTCAAATTTTCATCCAAAAACTTGAATTTATTGTTGTATTTTGTAAGCACGTTTAAAGGTTGTATTTTGGAATTTGAGAAGATAATGAAAGTACATAAATAATTATTTTTTATTTGTATTTCTGAGAGGAAAGTAGAAAGAAAAAATATAATTTTTTTATATTAATAAGATATATATATATATATATATATTTCGTTTCAAATATAACTTATTATATTTGTATAATCAATGCAACCCAATAAATTAAGATATTTATAAAAATAATTAGAATTCATTTATTATGATTTGAATATTTATGGAATATGAATAGATTTCATTAATTATGATCAATACTTTATATTATAAAACAATCAAAACTTCTACGAAATCGTATATTCATCAAATTAAATGGACGGTTGAGATTGAGTTGTACAAATGTAAAGGGTTGTATAACTATATATATATATATATATATATATATATAACGATTTGTAATTGGTGGGTAAATATGTAATTTTTAAATTATTTATAAGAATTGTTATTATTTTTACCTTCTCTTTCTTTCTACATTTGGGATGAAAATTTTGGGAAGGAAATCAACATAGTGCAAAATGAAATACAATTGTTTGATAATTGTTTACAATGAAATTAGAGCGCTTAATGGTTAAGAGAGGTCTATGATACAAAATCATTCAAAAAGTTTTAGAACTATCAAAAGACGTATTTTTTTTTTCAAAATAGATTTACCTCTTAACGATTCAAATATTATCTCTTAATTAAACTATTAAGAGATAAACAAACAATTTTTTTAGGTTGTGTTGTGGTGGATGAGAGAGAATAATTTTTTCAGTAAATTATTTGTTTGAATTAAAATCTTTAAAGAACGTTACATTTCAACTTTAACAGATTTTCTTTTTTTAGATATTTTAACATTAATTTTATTATTAAATATTATATAATCTTATTATTCTAAAATATTTTTTAATATTTTATTTAAATTAATAAATAATTCGATTGCATCGATGTGAATGATTAAAAAAACCATTTCCTGATATTCGCATCAAGTTTTAAAGAAACGTGAATTTTTATCCAATTTAAAAAACAATATAGAGAATTTGTTGAAATAAATAGATAACAAAGTCTCTGTTTTCTTTATTTTTAATAATATATTAGATATAACGAGGAGTAACAAGAGTAGTGAGCGGAGTTGGAATTAAAGAAATGTGTTATATTCATCTAAAATTTATACAGTCAATTACGTGAAAAATGTGCTCCGTCAAATAGAGTGACCAAAATAAAGTTACCTAAAAACTAGAAACGACTTGTTAAGGGCGTGGACTGATTTTCATAAGCAAAATTCTTTTGGTATTAAAGGTCCACACGTTAAACTTTGAAGGGTGTTCTGAAATATTAGAAAATACAAGTAACATCAATCAAAAACCTAAAAAAAGTAGCGCAAAATCAACTAAAACCCAAAAAATCCTCTCGAAGTCAAACAAAAACCCGGAAAATGTCTCTTGAAATCAACTAATTTTTTTTTTCTCAAAAAATTCTGAAAACAGTGGAATTCGGTTAAAAACACGTCGGACGACGTTCTGGACCTTTGATACACCTTAAAGGTGCACGTGTTCGGTAAAAATCTTGGTTCTGTCACTAGACCTGTTAACATAAAGAGATCCTTAAAAATAAGCAAATAATCATTGATTCTTTCAAACACCAACTCTAACAAGAGATTTTTCATCCTAAAATAAACAGATATTAAAACAGGTTGATCAAACCAGCTAAATTACTTCAGTTTGACCAACTTATCCAGTTTTAGCCAAACCACACGGGTTGAAATAAAAAACTGTAAAAATAAAATAAATCGATAAACAAAAGTAATTAATCATTTATTTTTAATATAGTCAAATGAGTTCATTCATGAATTACCCCATTTTGGTTAGATTTAATTCGCTTTCGAATCTAACCATTGTTGCAACATAACTGACACCTAATTACATCGAGGGCTCTTGTTAAATTCCCCAATAGGAAAATCTTTTGTTACAAAGTCGCCAATCTGGAACTCGAGTTGGTCGTTGTTCCTACTCACTTTCTTGACGTCGATCCACAACAAGGCTATTTGCACCCGCACACCGTCTAGGTTCTCGATTTGGTTTTGGTGAATCACACCTTTGATTGTAGGGTTGTATTGGATCTCGTACTGGTCTATTTTAAAGTCACAATTATCGCCTATATAAACTGAAAACTGACCACTGGTGGGATCCACATTATAGCCACTGACATTCTGCGGAAGAATACCGACCGGGAGGTTGTAGCTCTTGAGAACGTCATAAGCCGATGGCTTACCAACCCGTATGGCTGATGACATAGAAAAGTAAAGAAAAACGATCCCAATTATGATGGTTTTTGGTTTGGTGATTTCCATTCTCTCTATTTCTTGGTAATAGATTTGAATGTATTAGACTTGTACCAAAGATGATGTATAAATAGACCCAAAACAAAATCAGCATTTATTGTATGGAATTTAATGACAATTAATTAAATTATTTATTTTGGATGTGTTGTGAAATAACATTCAACAAAAATAGCTACACTTTTTATTTATTTATTTATGGAAAGTCAATTGTTTGAAAGTTGATTTAGAATTATATATATATATATATATATATATATATATATATATATATATATATATATATATATATATATTATGTTTAAGGGGTTGTTTAACAGTTGTTGAATGATTAAGTGATTATAATGATTAAAAGACTCTTATGATATAGTACAAAATAAAATATAATTGTTTGACAATTATTTACAATGAAAGTAGGATGTTGAATGGTTAAGGGAAACATATGATACAAAATCATTCAAAGTGTTTTAGAACCATTAAAAACATAATTTTTTTGCCAAACAAGATTCACATTTTAGCGATTCAGAGCCGGCATCTTAATGGAACTATTAAAAGGTAAACAAACAATTCCTAAGTGTGAATATTTGTAATTTATTTAGTTATATAACGTAATTTTTTTTATTATGAATATTTTTTGTATTAACCTGGATATCTAACCCGCTATGCGAGCCGACTAGTCTCAAGACGACCACCTGCTTTGTGGGTAGCTCAAAGTCACCGCATTTAAACATTCATGGCCATGAGAGGATTTTTGTTATTCCTTATTGGATTTGAACATGTGACCTCCAGACACTTTTGACATTTAGAACCTGAAGTCTTTTAAATTAGTTGGAGATTAAGATATAGATTTAACTTTTAATATATGAATTACAATTAATAACAGATTATAATAGGGAAAATTGCGCCAAAATGGAACCAACTTCCACCTAATTTTTATTTAGAGGAACCAACTTTCAAAATCGTCATTTTGGGGAACCAACTTGCACCTAATTCCTATTTTAGGGAACCAACTTTCAAAATCGTCATTTGGATTAGTAACAAAACGATTTTTATTGTGGTAATTTGGATTTTTTTTTTTTAGAATGTTCAATTTGATATCTGAATAAAAAAAAACGAGATTTGAAATGTAAAATAGATTTTATTGTATTAATTTCTGAAAAAAAACGAATTTTAGTTATTTTATATAAATATTTTGCAAGTTAGTTCCCTAAAATAGGAATCAGGTGCAAGTTGGTTCCCCAAAATGACGATTTTGAAAGTTGGTTCCCCAAAATARGAATCRKKTSCAAGTTGGTTCCCCAAAATGACGATTTTGAAAGTTGGTTCCCCAAAATAAGAATTAGGTGCAAATTGGTTTCCCAAAATAACGATTTTGAAAATTAGTTCCCCAAAATATAAATTAAGTGAAAGTTGGTTCCATTTTAGTGTAATTTTTCCATTATAATATTAATGATCTGCTTAGTCAATGCTGAAAAATGAAAATGACAATGAATTTTCATTCTCTCCAATTTATCAGGACGCGAAGTCCATTATATTATAGAAAACCAAACAATTTCTTTTATTTTTCATTCACATTGGTTACTGTTTAATACATTTAACCAAACATATCGTATATCAAACATTTTCAAGTCATTTGAGGAGCAAACAAATAAAAATATAGTTGGCTTGAGAATATGGTTTAATAAAATATTTTATTATTAGTTAAATATTTTTTTAAAAATGTTTTTAATGATTATAAATTACAATATCTTTTTAAATAAGATTAAA